GGGGGGGGGGGGGGGGGGATGAAAGAAAAAAAAAGGGTAGGCCAAGAAGGAAGCGATTCGGATGAGAGAAATAAAAGAAAGCGGTCGAGGGTGTAGCTTCAGGTGTGCGGAGGCGAGTTCGCAGTGGGAGGGACCGTGAGGACACAATTATATATTCCCATAGAATTTAGGACGTTGAATAATGGATAAGTCGTGTCGCGTGTCCCCTGTCATTATCCAGCTCTTGGAGTACTACCCGGTCGAGCAGATGCCATTGGCGTCGTGTTCGCAAACAGCATCCCCGTGCAGGCCGATCGCGCGCACGCCTGCCCGCGAGCAGAACAATGCGCGCAGAAGTCGGCACGATCGGATCTTGAAACAGTGCAAAACGGTACCCTGGTATAACGCAGTGAGGATCGCGCGCGCCACCAGATAACCACGATCGAGATCCAAGCACGCGCAACCGTATTGTTCGCGTATAATGACGACCCTCTCTGGGATATATCCTGACGCTTGCGAGCTTAGTTCATGAGATAAAACATCCTAAGGATGAATCTTCCTCGAAGGCTCGCGAAATTGTCAATAACTCATCCACCCACTCGATAAACCGTCCAACAGTGGATTTACTGTGGTTCTCTGGAAGGGGTCAGTGAAGACGATCTGGGAGGGAAAAAGTTCGCAGTGATTCCCAGGATAAGTAACCCCCATTGGCAACTGGTAGCATAACCAGAGGGAACTCTCGTAGCCCCTCGGGGTAAATGCTAAAGTCAATCCCTCGAGTGAAAGAACCTGTAAGCTTAAGCTATATTCTTGCCAGATCTATCTGTTCCGTGTGTTAGGCCAGCAGCACGCTATGCCATGGTATACCGGGGTCCACCGAGTGGTCGGACAGACAGACGGACAGTAGTGGGATGCTGCGCGTTGCCCGGTCCCTCGGATCCCCACTCTCTTTCCCTGGGACTCGCTCACTCCGGGGCCTCGCGTTAGCCGGCGGGCATCATGGTGGCTACTCTGGCTTCGTCTCGAAGCACAAGAGGGCCCCGAGGGTCAAGGAACTCCCTCGGGAACAGGTTCACCTCCTCCCTTCTCCCCATCCTTAACCACCACCTCCTCCACCTCCTGGACCTCCTGAACCTCCTCCTTCACCACCTCCTGCCAGTATACCCCCTCCGGTTCGTACCTTAGGGTTTTACTTATTTTCTCTTATTACCGGCGAGGATGTGTACGTATGGTCCACCTCAGGGCCTGCTGGACCCCCCCTGCGTGTTTGTAGGTACTCCAATATGTGAGCACATTATTACAGACACACGAGAACCGCGGGACGTACACGCCGCGGAGAAAACGCGCGCGAGCGTACACGCAAGGGTGTTTAGGTGTGCCTCCGTCTCGCTGAGAGAGCCAGATACCAGATTCCACCTGTGCTGCTGTCTTCCCTGTCTTGGCTGGTTGCCTGACTTCCCTCCACCCCGCTACCCCTGCCCGCCGTCTCACTACCTGCCCGACTCGTATTAATAATAGTTGCATTTTTGACCGATCGACTTTTTTTCTTTTATACCTCCACCCGACGAATATTCCAGGTTCAGGTCAGTAAGGAAGACGTGCTACCTACGTCAGGCACTCTGGATGATTCCATTGTCTCTCTGTTATTGCTACCTTAGCGTGACACCTGACCGTGAGACACTTGGCGTTCCGCTATTTCTTAATAAGCGTACTAATCTCAGGGAATCCTAGAGGCATATTTAACTGTGGATCTTGCATCTTCCTCTGGTGTTGCCTCTCCGGACACGTGGACTTTCTCCGAAAATTACTCGACCTGCTCCTAATGAGAGATAGGAAGCGCGCAGGCAGCAGGACACGCTAAAGAGACGACAACGCCGTCCGATTAGGTCGTGCCGAGCTGAATTGGACGGTTGTTCAATTTTCTGCATTAGCAAGTCATCGGACCCACACGTGGACGGAGCGACTCGTCCGTGTACACTTGTGATCTCGCGTGTGTATACGGGGAAGGTGGGCTTAACTCGGGATCAGTGAAGCCTGCGTGATAAGCCCCGGCCGAGTTAATTAATGTTAAAAAAGTTAAGATAAGAATGAAAGGATTCGTATGTGGGTATACTGTTACCGTGGGGGATATGCAAGAGCCACACGGGTAAAAATGTCATACCAAACTGGTACCCCCTCGTATATCGTGGTCATTAAATCCTAGCAGGATCGGAGTAAGAATTCGAGTAAGGACGACTCGTATCTAATCGAAGACGTGAATTTCGTCCTTCGAGCAATGGGTAGTACCGTATCCTATCTCTGGTTCAACCCTTTCCCATTAGAAAATGGTCAACGATCAAGAACTTGGGAACAATTCTTATAGCAATCCTAAAATACGCCCAAAGTGTACACAGTAAAAGGCACATCTATGGACCCCATGGAAATCTGTTAACCTTATACAGGCGGTTCATAGAGTAACATCCGACTCCTGGACCCCTGGACATCCTCCTCGGCGAAGGCGTCTCTCGTGGCGGTCGTTAGTTAAAATCCCATTAGGAGAAATCCCAGTTTTCTGGAGGACCATCAAGATGTCACCGAAGATCACCGGTGATATATTGGAGCGGGTCTCGGTCGGTTTTAACGAGGAGAGATGCCCCGGGCCATTTTGGGTACACCCCGAGTTAACAGGTGTCTCTCTCCTACCTGCTATAGCCGTATACGACTATGCGGCCCGGTACGCCGGAGACTTATTGAAATCCGTTTAGCGTCTATAAGAAGCGAGGATCCCACAGTTATTAGGGTCCTGGACGGCGGTTCCAGGTTTAAGGGGGTCCGAACCGCTAGGTTGACAAGGTAGTCGGAGTCACCTGTCAATTATAGACGGGGACACGAGACGCCCCTGTCCCGCGCTAGATCTTTATCTGTTCAGAAAATTGAGTGTCTGTCTATTGGCTGGTTTGTTGGTTAAAATTTAAAACGGTTAACGATCTTACGGGTGGTAAGAAAAAGTGTTGCCTCGATCTAGAACACATTATTCCCATGGCGCAGTGCCCAATTTTTTATACGATGCTTTTCACCTTAGCGAACGATGACCCCGTGCACGCATGTAACATGCGGCCAAAACGCTACGTGCAAGCGGCTAATTACTCTCGATTAGCGCGAGGCCTTATCAAGAGAGAGAGAGAGAGAGAGAGAGAGAGAGGGATGGTAACCTCGTGATCAACACATACTCAAGGTGAAAGAGCTGGTGGTTACGTTAGCAGGTCGAAGGGTACATTTTTCAAATACCTAAATCTCGAGCAAGTCAGAAATTATGATTGTTATAAATGCTAGAGGGTACGTGCCTTGCGTACTTACCCCGTCACAGGGACTGGCATCAACTACCAATCAAAGAGTCCCATTAAATTGCAAGAATTTCTTGCAAAGCCAACCGACTGCTCGCGTTCACTTGTCAGTGAGCCAGTTCATTTCCACGCAGAGCTTTTGAAAGTACTTGGATCGCCGATTTATAGGATTT